GAAGTCCAGCACTAGGAAAAGCAGGCATTCTGTGTGGGGAAGAGCTCTGAGCTCACTGTAGCCTTGGAGAGGGAAGTGATGGAAAAAGAATATAGCAGCTTATTAGGGACTCCCACCCTCTTCAAGTTATAAATATCCCCAGAACCTTGGCTCCGTGCCCAGAAGCCTGTTGTCTCTAACTGTACAGGAGACTTCTCTGCCTGCGCTGGGAAAGGGGCTTTTCTTTTGTTTTGCAGATACATCCACCCACTGAGTGACTTGATTTTTATTTTTTTTCCCCCCTCGAACATGACTCCAGGCTATGCTTTTATTAGTGAGTGTCCTGTTCCCAGTGCCCAGTTATTTATGGTTAAATTACTCAAGTGTCTAAAAAGAACTAGGACTCAACCCAGCCATGAGGCAAACTCTCCCACTCCTCACCCCCAACTGTGCGGCTAGGAATTCTTTTAGATATCACAGAATTGTACCATCTTATTCCACCTAAAATTGATATCGGTACCACACACACAAAAAAAAATGGAATCACCGTGGGTCACCAAAAGGCAGTTAAGTTAAACAGACCTGGTTTGAAATCAGGCTGTGTATCCTTTGGAAAGTCATTTAATCTCTCTGGGCCGGTTTTCCTTTCTGTAAAATGGGGTAATCACACCTAAGACAGTGGTGAGCACTAAGTGAGATGACTTAAAGTGACCACCCAGATGATAGCTGTTATTAATCCTGCCTTGGGTGGCTGGGAAGACTTTCAGAAAGGCCTGAGGATATTTTCAGTGGCTCAGAAAATCTGGGAAGTCAGAGTGGCTCCATAGCTGTGCGGATCTGCTGGTGACCTTATCCTCACATAATGTTTCTGCTGGAAATCCAGAGGGAACTGGAAGTTGGACCAGTTTGGTGGGTTCAATCAACTTGGTGAATTGAGCCCAGTAGAGCAGAGGTATCTGGAGCTGCCAAGAACCCAGCAAGTTAAGGCCTCTCCCTTAGAAAACCTCTGGGACAGGAGGAGGGAGATCGGTTCATACTTGGGCTGAATAATTGCAGGTTTCTAACTGGGCCTAATGCGAAGTGAGCTGAGCGCCCAAGCCCTTCAGCCCAGCAGGGCTCCCTTTTCACCCCTGCCCTGACAGATTGCTTTGTAAACTTTCTTAGGCTTTTTCTTCCCCCTGCTCCAGCGCTTTAAACCCTTCTTTGTCCTCGGCTGTTTCTTTTATTCCTAGGCCTGGCTGGGGGCAGGGCGACTCTCTCAGCCCAGCTTGGCTGCTTGCCTCCTGTGAGTAAGTGCTTTTCTCTTTCTTCACCTGGGACCTCCAGAGGGTGGAGAAGAGGCTGAGAGAACTGGGAAGCACCACTGTGTTTGGTGCCCCTGGGGGTGGGGTGGGGGTGGGGAGTGGAAGACCGAGGAAAGAAAGTGGCTGAGGGGCTTCCTGTTGCACCCTTCAGCTGGACTCTCAGGGCTGGGTCACTGGAGTAGGAGGTGGCTTCCTGCCTCATTGTTCAGGACTTCATTGTTTCTCAGGAATGCTTATAGTGTGTGGGTTTTCAATAACCAATTTGGAAAACTGTATTTGTCCCATCATTCAGCAAACAATGAGCACCTACTGTGTGCAGAGCCAGCAGCACAGCCTATCCCTGGGGAAAGGGGCCAGGAGAACCATTTGTCCAGGGTCTCCAGATGGAGTTACAGGTTATGTCAGATACACTGACCAATTTGATTAAAGACCCTCCTTGTATATCCTTAAGCTTGTTTCTTATTAATAGACCACAGTACTGCCTGGCCAGCGTGGCTCAGCAGTTGAGCGTCGACCTAGGATTCAGGGGACGAAGGTTCGACTTCCGGTCAGGGCACATGCCTGGGTTTTGGGCTCCATTCCCAGTAGGGGCCTTGCAGGATGCAGCCGATCAGTGACTCTCTCATCATTGATGTTTCTATCTCATCTCTCTCCCTCTCCCTTCCTCTCTCTGAAATCAATAAAGACATATTAAAAAAAAATAGACCACAGTGCCTATGGAGCACTGTAAATTATTATGTTTTAATAAATTTATAATTACCTTGTGAGCCGCACAATTACGCTGTAATTTTTTTGTATTAGAAACATTAATTTGTTAAACATTTAAAAATATGCCTCAATATTTGTGATCTTGATTTGCCATCTCTTCCAGAATGGTCAGGATTGGGTATGGCTAGAGGGAAGAGTGTGGGGTGGAGTGGCAGGGGGAGGAAGCATAGCAGGGACAGTCTTATGTCCCCTTGCCTGCCTGCCTGTTTGTCTTTGCCTTTGGCTGTGGATCAGCAAAAGCCAGTGATGAAGTGCAGATGGGGGGCAGATGGGGGCTGGCCTGGGGTGAGAAGAGCAGATTGACCCTGCAGGAAGGGGGGGGGGAGTGGAGAGGATTGGGATGCTCTTTATGACCTTCATGCATTTCAGGTGTTTTTCTCCTGAGAGAATCGACATTTTCAAAAAAATGTGAACAATTGCATTAAAAATGTACAACAAACATATTTAGTTTGGTTAGCCTACTTAAAGGCATCAAATAGGCCCATACGCACCAAACATGTTTACTGTGTCTATTCTATACCAGACACTGGGCTGGGAGATAGGACACACCCCCTACAACGACTGCAGGGCTGCTGTGAAGATTAAACGTGAGAGACCCTGGCCAGGTCGCTCAGTCGGTTAGAGCAGGTTTGATCTCAGGCCAGGGCACATACAGGCAGCCGCCAATGAATGCATAAGTAAGTGGAACGACAAATCGATCTCTTTCTCTCCCCCCTTCCTCTCTCTCTAAAGTCAATAATTTTTTTAAAAAGATTAAATGTGAGAATGGCTGCAAAACACATGGGCACAGGCACAGAGGAGGGCCTGGGTACACAGCGGCCATCAGTGTCATGGGGGAAGTAAAATGCATCATGCGCTGTGAGGTGAAGCCATGTCTCAAAGTGGTATGAATAGGGGCCTGGGTTCAAGTTCCGGTTCTGTCTCCTAAAAGCAGATTACTCTCTGAACCTTGGTTTTCTCAATCTGTAAAAAGTATATAGTAATGCAATTCATAGAGACAGAAAGTAGAATGGTGCTTGCCAGGGGCTGGGGGAGGGGGAAATGGGGAATTGTTGTTTAATAGGTATAGAGGTTCAGTTTTGCAGGATGGAAAGAGTTCTGGAAATTGCCTGGACAACAATGTGAATGTACTTAACACTACTGAACTGTATGTGCCCTTAAAAACGGTTAAGATAGTAAATTTTATGTATATTTTACAATAAAGAAGTAGTATAATAATAGTAACCTAGCTCATGGGGTCTGAGGGCTGGTTGAGCAATATAAAGGACTCCCCTGTACTCAGAGTAATAACAGCGAATACTTTGTGTCAGGCGTGATTTTAATGAATCCTAAGGAGTCCCCATAACACTCCTTTGAGTTATGTGCTATTACACCATTTTACAGGTGACAAAAGGAGGCATGGAGAAGCTACTTATGATGTCCGAGATACCCAGCTAGCAAATGCTTAAAAACTAATCGATTATCAACAGATACCATCATACAAAGAAACCATCACTGCCACCCTCATGGTAGACTGCAGTGTGATTATTAGAGTTTCACAGAGCTATTGGAGTTCTGAGGAACCATCTCTCGTGGCCAGAAGACTTCATAGATGTGCAGTACACCTGCGACGAGCCTGGGAGGATGGGGAAGATTTGGACAAGGTTTGGGAGAGAGAATCAGAAGACGCAGTCACATTTGGGAAGGTCCATCAGGTTTTCAAGAACCGGGCAATGTCTCCCTTAGGCTGGAGCACATGGGCAGCAGGGGCGGAAGATAAGCCACCAAGGACGGGCAGAGGGCAGGTGGAGGGGAGCTTTGAAGGCCAAGCCAAGGAGTTTGAATTTTCTTTGCTAGCTGGTGGGAATCCACTGAAGGTGATTAGGGAAGTGATGCTCAGAGCCATGCAGGGAAGATGCGGGGACGGCAGGGAGTGCTTTGGATTGGGAGACACGTAGAAGGTCTTTGTGTAAGTCCAAGAGAAAAGAAAACCTGAAAGACAATGTTGATAGTGATGGCAATGGACAGAAGGGTTGGACAAGTGAGAGACTCTACAACTGGTAGCTGATAAAGTGAAAGGGGCAGGGGAAAGGGTCAAAGACGGTCCTCAGTAATGAGCTAGTAGTTGACAAAGAGGAAAACAAGCAGAAGATGGGACTTAAGAAAGAGTAGATGTGAGCACAATTTCAGATTAATTGTATTGGGAGGGCCAGGGTAGGGACGTGGGGGAGATATCCAGATAGGCACTTGGTGACTTAAGTCTTGAGCTCAAGAAAACTCAGGGCTAAAATTAGAGATTTGGTCGTCTGGATGAGACTAAGAAAGACTTCTCATTCCATATAGTATTTCAGGTTCCTGTAACCTTTGGAAACATCTTCTAAATTTGTCATGGGATCTTGACTATACTGCCTTCAAGGTCTTTTCGCCATAACATAACATTCCTGCTGAGACCCTCGCTCCTCCATCCCAAGCTCGTTGCCTGTTTCACCTCGCCTGACCTGGTCTTTTTCCTCCTGCGAGGCAGCAATCTCCCCTCCCTCAAGAAGCCCTCCTGGGTTGCCCAAGATAATGCTAACTCCCTTACAGCTCACACCCTCTTCATTTTTTTTTTTTTTAATATGTCTTTATTGATTTCAGAGAGAGGAAAGGAGGGGGAGAGAGAGAGAGAGAGAGAAACATCAATGATGAGAGAGTCATTGATTGGCTGCCTAGCCCGCAACCCCAGCATGTGCCCTGACCCAGAATCGAACCGTGATCTCCTAGATCCTAGGTCGATGCTCAACCGCTGAGCCCCGCCTGGCTGGGCCGCCCTTGTCATCTTTGAGATCGGGCTACTGCGGGATGGTCTAACTCCCTGGAGGCGGCTTCTCGTCATCTTTGAGATGGTGAAGATGGTGTTAAATCGTGTGCTTCAATGAACAGCGTGTGCAAAGACTGTAGGACAAGGGGAGCACAGCATGGCCAGTGTGGCTGGAGCACAGAGTGTGGGCCAAGAGCAGTGGGGGGAAATGGAAGGTTTTAAATGGGGGTGGTAGAGTGACGGGCTGTACATGACCAGCTTTGCAATTCTGAAATGTCTATTCTGGCCTGCGCCCTGGAGAGCACGAACCCAAGTGGGTCCGGGGGGATACAAGAAGACCAGTTGGGAGGGTGTAGACGCCTGCTGGTGAACACAGTCTGGGGCCTGTTCAGGCTTTTCTGTGTCCTTAGTGAACGTAGATGTGTCCTGTGGAGATGTGCAGACTGGAGCCGACCTGTTCTTTTGCTGTTTAATCTGACTCATCTCCTCTGTAAACAGCAAGGTTATTGAGGGTGGAGATTCAGTTCTGTATTTTCCCCTAGGTTGTAAATCCCTATGACACCAGGAGCACAGTGAATATTTAGACAGTGACTATTGAAAATCGCTTCAGGGTACCACCTTTAAAAAGCCTGAAAGTAACATTTATTGACATCCTTAAATTAAGAGTACTTGCTATTCTGTTCTACTTTTATTTTCTAGACATTAGATGGAGGATTAGATGATGCAGAAACAAATCTGGGTATCTCAACCCTTATTGCTCAGTGAGGACCAGCAGCATGGGCATCACCTGGGAGGCTGTTGGAAATGAAAAATCTCAGGTCCCACCCCAGACAGGATCCCCAGGGGATTCCCACTCAGATTAAAGCTTAAGGGGCTCCTGGGTGTCTGAGCAACATCCCTCCACACTTCTGTGGGTAATATTCGTACCTCGGGCATGTATCACATCCTGCCTGGTATGGAAGCCTGTGCCTGTGATTTTTTCCAGGCTGGGAATTCCTGGAAGGTACACGCCAAGCACTGTGTATGGCCCTGGATCTCTCATTGCATCAGGCACAATGACAGGAGGGAGACCTGGGTTTCCGTCCTGGTTCTGCCACTTACAGGCTGTGTGCTGTACCTTCTGTGAGAGGATTCTCAAGCCTTCCAAAGGACCCGCCCCGAATCTGACTTGAAAAATGGAAGATGGTGGCAGATTTCTGTACCCAGTTTACTCACAGGCTTCATCTAGGAGGAGGCACTTGGCGGGTAGGAGGGAGGTGACAACCAAGTCCGAGTGGATGATGCCCGGGGCATATGAAGAACCTGGGCTGATGTTACTCTGAATAGCTGCCCTAAGGGTGCATCGAGGCAGATGGAGACCCAGCGGCCTCTGCACAGTCACCCTATGAGACAGGCGCTAGTGCCACTCCTTTTACAGGTAAGGAAACAGCTCAGAGAGGGTAAGTGACGTGCTCTGGCTCCCAAGAGTTCACAGGCTCTTGCATGCTAGCCATTTTAGGAAACAAAGAGCCCAGGAGGCTCAGGCTGGGGCTGCCAGAGGCCAGGGACAATCAGGGACTGAGACTCAGGACAGGCCCACCAGACCTGCTCCCAAGGCTTTTCCAGAAGATTCCAGCTTTGCCTAAAGTTCCTATCAGCTTAAAAAGCAAGCCGATGTCATCATGGGAGAAGCATGACAAGGACTCTCCCTGCAGACATCCTATGAAGTTTGGGCCACAGATGGAGCTGTGAGGACCTCATGGCCAGGGCCCTGGCAGCTTCCGAGACTCAGCACCTTCCGGGGACCATGGAACTGCGGGGCCACCACCATACCCTTCAGGCAAAAAGACTCAGTTCAAGATAATCTGTTCCCTGGCTCAAAGGCCCCCAAAGGCAGCTATGAACAGGGAAGAGAGTTTGGGAAAAGATGCGGAGTAGGGAAGAAATCTTTCTACGTGGTGTGGAAGTCATATATGCCTGAGCCAAATTGTGCGCCAAGTATCCTGCGTGTGTGACTCTGGGTGGGGTGGGGTGGGGTAAGATTTGCAACAGTCTGTTATTTTCCAGTCCAGAAAAGGCTGAGAGGTTCGGATGTGGGGGAAGGGACTCAAAGCAAAGGTCTGCCACCTACTGTCAAAGATTTAACACCCGAGTCTCTGAGTTTCTACAAGGTTTGTCAACACAGACTCTTAGCACCGTAGCCCACTTAGGCTCCCTCAGTTAGCCAGTCGTTATTACCAACTGGTGATTAATTTGCAAAAGGATTCTCCCTCTGACCCCTATACCCCAGTCAGAGTTCAGCACTTTTCTTCAGTTGAATTTTTATTTTTTTCTCCAGTTACGGTGGCTTAGTGCTTTCTCTTTGTTCTTCCTCAACTTGTTCACTGAAATCCTGGCTGGCAGTTATATCAGCAGAACTACAAAACCAAAAAGGCAACAGAATTTTAGTGCTGTTCCTGTGTCACCCGAGGAGACTAGGGGCAGGGGGAGGGGACATGGAAAAGAAGGGTCTGGAGCCACATGGAGCAGAGTCCAAATCCCAGCTCTGTCATTGTTAGCTGTGTGACTTTGAACGAATCACTCATCTGTAAAATGGGATCATAATGCCAGCCAATGCGAGAAAGATACTGGGTAATAAATGAATGGAAATTTGATGCCAGACATCCGGTGTGCTCTTAGCTCATGGTCAAAATATCATTATGATTATCACTAATCACTTGATTAGACTTTAGGCTTCCACATGGCAAGGGACACTACCCGAAAAAGTGGTCAGAAGCCATGTAGCTGCCACCTCTAAGGGAGGAGGAGCTGGGTTTGCAGCAGGCAGAATGTCCTTTCCCCCACAGTAACAATGACAAGAGCTATCTTTTATTGAGCACTTACTTATTGGGGGCTAGGAGGTATTAACACGTATTAACTCGCTCATCCTCACACCCTAGGAGGCAGGCACTGTCACTCCCATTTTCACAGGTAAAGAAGCATCTCGGAGAGGTTAAGTGACTTGCCTAAGCTCTCGTAATACTAGTGGGCGACAAACTCGGAATAACGAGAATGGTGGTTCCTAGGCACCAGGAACATACGTGCCCGGGGCTTTTTTGGAGGGTTGTACAGGCTGCTCACTGCACGAGAGAGCCTGGCAGAAGGGGCGAGCTGAGGCTCAAATTCAGCCTCTGGCTCTGTTTGCCAAGCTCTGTACCCTGGCGCAAGGCTGTGTCTACTCGGGGGCAGGGACACCATTTCCTAATTTGACAAAGATACCATATGAGCCATCGGAAGCCCTATTAATGCTTCATGTGAATCACCTCTAATTCCCACAGCAGGTCTGTGGGCTACATAGTAATATCCCCATTTTATAGAGGAGGAAATCCAGGCCTGGAGAGTTCAGGTCAGTTCGCTAAGTCATTTTGTGAGCGATAAAACGAGGATTTGAACTTGATGCCGAAGCCCATACTCGAAACCACGAGGCTGCTGTCCTGGCCCGATCCTTAAGTGCTCAACAGATGAATGAAGGGAAAAGACACAATCGTCTGCCTTTCACATTTAAAACTAGGGCAGATCTAATGAGGCCCCAGGGCTATCGAGGCCCCCAGTCAGGTCCAGAAACTCGATGGATCAGGAACTTGGAGCACTGCCTTTCGTGCTCCAGACTGTGTAACCTTAAGCCTGGCCGCACTTCGGAAGCTCAGTTTCCTCGTCAGAAAGCGAGAGCAGTAGCATAAAGGAACATTTCTCTAGCTGTTTGCAAAGTGTGCGTGCGTACATAGTCCCCTTCACGTCAGTCACTGGGGAAAGGCATTGACGCTCTTGCTCAGGGAGGGAGTGCGACACTCAGGGTCACCCAGCGAGTGGGGCAGAGCAGAGACCCGAAACCAGGGCTGCTGACTCCTGGCCCCACGCTCAGCCCGGGGCTCCTTGCAAAGAACTTGTGGAGAAGCCGCAGCCTGCCTGGTGGCCCGGACGTCACACGGTGCACGTGCAAGTCCTGTGGGACTGGAAATTGGCCTTAACCACATGCCTGAGCTCCTTCAGAAGACATGGCAGGAAGGAGCACTCTGGACGAGTCTCTGCTTGGCTCCCATGTCTGGAAAGAAAACCTCTGCGTTCGCAGGAGCTGGGGCAGCCCAAGTGACAGCCTTGGGTAATGTAAGCTTTTCCAGAGCTGCCTTGGGAAGGGAGGGTGGCCTGGGAGCACTTGAGGGCGAGGCCCCTCTGCCGGGCTCAGCCTTCCTCTTCGGTGGCTGAGGCCAGGTTCAAAGGAAATAACATCTGTGAAAGCACTTTGTAGAGAGGTGTGGTCCAAGTGCAGTGCATTGTTTTTCCTCTGTGGATCTGGGGGATGGGGTGGGAGTGACTGATTCCCTCTGTGCTCAAATGACAGACTTTCCCAAACTCTGACAAAATGGGGGCCGCTGCTCCCATCCCAGCCGGGAGCCTTCCAAACAAAAACATGCATGCACACTCTCCCTGCCTCACCACCACCAACCCGCCACGATCTCCAGCTCTGCTGGCCCACTCTGCACAGGCTGGGAAGCCCTCTGGTGCACGAGACCCCTTCTTGGCTGTGGGCACACTACTCCTTATGTGGGGCAGCACCTGTGGATGACGGGGCGGGGGTAAGGGAGAAAGATACAGACCTTCCAGCGATTGCCACACTCATTGCATAAGACGAAGGTAGTCATGGGCTCATCAGCACTGCGTGTCTGCACCTGAGACAGAAAGACCACTCAGGAAGTCACTCCCCCTGCTCTAGGACCTCCCATAGCTCCCACTGTCTGCAGGAGGAGGTCCAAATCCCAATAGCTTAGCACGGCTTTTCCCACCCCACGCAGGGAATTCCCTTATCGCTGAGAACCCTGTCATGTATACCTTCTCCTCTTGCAGGCCCATCAGCTCACTTCCAGCATCTCACGGCTCAGCCTGGCCTTTGCACTTTCACTCTTGTTGATCTTTCTGAACTGATCTTTCTTTTCTTGCCTCAAGACTCATCTCCTACACCAAGTATTCCCTGACTCACCTCTGAACATGCCCTGTTGGGTGAGCTGGAAGCACCTCTAGAGATCACTTAGTTCATTCTTTATTTTACAGGTGGAAGAACAGAGGCCCGGAGAGGAAAAGAGATTTGAGGATCACTGGGACTATTTAATGTTATGTTTTCTAGTTTCTCATCCCCTTACCCAAACCATTCAGGGGCAGGAACCGGGTTTTCCACAGCAAATCCCGGGCATTTCCAGATCTAACAGTCGCTGTTTTGATTTTCTATAGATGGCCATGACATATAGCGCGTTGTCCCTTTGCTGACACTCAGCTGTGAATGATGTCAGCTGGGAGTCTATGGGGTGGGAGGTAGTCCCGGGCTCATGAGGGAGCCCAGCAGTCGACCAGGAGGACACAGCTTGGTGCAGCCTTATCACTGGAGAGCAATGACAACTGGAGGAAGGATAACACTGGGGTCCCTCTGTGAGACAAACCTCGCTAGTGGGTGGTTACTTCCAGTGGGAGGAGAGGCACACGAAGCACACCTTCCACATGGAAAGTGCTTGGCAGGAGCTTGCACAAGCATTTTAGAATTTATTCCTGAACTGGGATTCTCTGAGGATGCTTCCTGAATCGCAAGGCTGACTATTGTGGCTGCAGCCACAGACCCCCACAAGCAAGGTGCTCTTGATAAACCTTGCTTTCAGAGCAGACGGGAGAATGAACAGAGTTCCAGGATGACTAGGTACCAATCAGAATCCAAGAACATTGGTGCCCCAAGGGCATAGTATGTGCCACCCAGAAACAGGAGGTGGTTCTCTGGTTTAAAGTCTTCCAGAGAGGGGCCTGCATAGCCTCGTGTGGCTCCCCAGACAGGGGCAATGGTCTTCACCCTTAGGACTCGGGGTAAACCCCTTAGGCTTTACACGCCAAGGTGGCTGGGAGGCAGGCAGGAAGGTCCAGATCTAGATTTATTACTACCTCTGCCACTGACTATCTTTGCCATCCTGGACAAAGCTGCAAAGTTAGTCCCCTGTCTGGGCCTCAGTTTCCCTGTGTGTGAAGTAAGAGAGCTGAGTTTTATATTGCCACGTTCCCTTCCAACCATCTGTGACTCTACAGTTCTGTGCTCTGTGTCTGGTTCCTCTCAGTCCTGCTGCAGGCCCAGCCAGAACATGCCGGCCCAGCCTCACAGACACAAATCTGGGCGATTGTGCATGCAGAAGATTTTCTAGAAGCCACAGGCACATATTGGTGTATCAAAATGTGCCCTTTTCTCTGCAGCCTGGAGTTTTAACCCTGTCCCCCTCTGGCTCTTCCCTGAGCTCTCTCTGGTTCTCCATCTCTCTGCCCCTGTAGCTTCCTCCACCAGGGGCCCCTCCCCTCTTCACCTTACCTGGTTATAGGTACAATTCTTCTTCTTGCATTTCTTGCACTGGAAGAGGCCAGTGGTGGTGCCACCCGTTTTGGCCATCTGGTGCTCACGGATAGCCTCCTGGGTCATGGCGTTCCTCAATTCCCGAAGCTCGTCACTGGCCATTTCCTGGAGAGAAACAAGTCTGCCCTTCAGGGGGGGCCTTCCCATTCCTTCATTCAAAATCTACTGGACGCCAATTTAGTGGATGCCTTTAACTGCATTGGTATGCTGGTAAAACAGTTTTGACCGTAGGGGTGGTTGATTTGTAGTATTTACCAATTTCCATGGTGTAAATATTTCCATCATGGCCAATTTCAAGCTACTAATGTGATATAACTGAATACAAAGTTGGGAATAGCTACACGTAACCATCTCTCTTGAGCTGGTAGGAGCTGGTTTCAGTCTACCGCTGCCTCTAAGCCCTCAGGATTCAGATAAGATTTGGTTCCTGTCCCCGAGGTAATGCTAATCTGGTGTAGGAGCCAAGCATTTACACAAGATAGTGCCATAGCCTATGAAGTAGTAAAACAAAGGCATACAAAGTTCAGGGAAAGCCCCCCTCCAGTGTGGGGCTCCTCACTACTTAGGGGCAGGAAAGGCTCATTAAAGAAGCTGACATTTGAACTGGACTTCAGGGCACATTCTAGGCACAGAGAGTAGTCCATGCAAAAGATCAGAGGACAAGAAAAACATGTTTGGGGAAGGGTAACTGGAGTGGGGCTCAGGGTGAGGAGTGAGGGAGGCATGGCTGGGGGTCAGACTGTGGAAAGATGGCCTTACGTGCTACCTAAGAAATAAAAACAGAACAAAAAAATCTATCCACTCACCCACCAATCCATTTATCTATCTCTGCCCTGACTCATTTAGAAGGCGGCAGCACCAGAGACACACGTAGTAAGTGTGGTGATATAGAAAATAAGCTAGAGCCCGGGCGGGCGTGGCTCAGTGGTTGAGTGTCGATCCTAGGCGATCGGGGTTCGATTCCCAGTCAGGGCACATGCCCGGGTTGCGGGCTGCAGCTGATCAATGACTCTCTCATCATTGATGTTTCTACCTCTCTCTCCCTCTCCTTTCCTCTCTCTGAAATCAATAAAGATATATTTTTAAAAAAAAGAAGAAAAAAAAGAAGCTAGAAAAGTGAGGGAGATTAAGGTAGAGAGACACTCCTCACACTGTACACACTGCTAGGGAAGGGCCCAAATATGAATTTGATAAATATTTGTTGAGCACTTATGATGCACCAGGCACTGGTCTCAATGCCGGGTGAACAGTGAGCAGAGAAAATCCCTCTTCGAGCTCAGCTCTAATGGGTATCTCGGAACCCACTCCATTCTTTGATATGTCTTGGTAGAGAGGAAAAGAGAGGAGGAATGAGGGAATCAAGTGGGCAAGGAAAGACACAAAAAGGGAGTTAGGGGACGCAGAGAGCGATGTCCATCTACATGGGCACCCACTGTCCCAGACCTTCCCTGACAGCAGCCCCTGTCCTCTGAGCCTCACGCAGCAAGCAGCCCAACACCAAGCTGTTATTTTTCCTATTGGAGCAAAAATGGTCCTAAAAGATGACCCCAGGAAGAAAACCTCCTTGACACCCATGTTGACTAGGTTGCTGGCAGGAGCGGTCCTTGGCGGCTGGCCCTGGCAGTCCCTTGTCAAGGGCCTGCTGGATTCCTGGCCTGCTCCCCTCGGCCTGGCCAGCCTCTTCCTGGGCCCGGATTGATCATCCGATTCGCTTGCCCTGTTCTAGCGATCAGTCCTTGGGTGGGGCCCGACTTCATCCACATGTCTGTCTTGGCCAGTTGCTTTGCTGGGACTTCTGGGGCCTGTCTCTGTCCTAATCCAGACACTCAGCTCTGTTCTGACCTCCGGCTTCTGGGAACTTGCTGGGTTTGGCTCAAACCTGTGCCAAGTCTTGCTTCTGGTTCCCCTGGGCTTGGTTTCCCAACATGGTTCTGGAATTGCCTGTAAGACAGTCTCTCAATAGCATTCCCACAGCACACACATAAAGGGAAGCAGAGGGACCCTAGAGCCCCACAGTGAGGGACAGAGAGAAATAAACACAAGGCTGGCTTTCCATAAAGGTCACAACTTCACCTTGCAGGGAGGGAGCATACGCTGTAAAGCCAAGCTGCAATGTGTAACTCTGGGCACACACTGCTATTTGCCTAAAAAGATCAGATATTTTAAATTAGGCAGAAAGATAACCCTGGTCCACCTGTGCCAAGTTCCCTGTTTTATCCAAAAGCCAAGGATATTATCCTTTTTATTTTGGGTAGTTGAGGAAGTCAGTGAACACTCTCTTCAGAAAAACATACAATATACACACACACACACCACACTTACATACACCACACATACATAGGCTAAACACACACACCACACACACAGAGGCCCACTCTCACCAACAGTTTCAGAGGATTCCCAGACGCCCTGAGGGCACACCCAGCCTCCAGATGTCGGGCATTTCCCTTCCCCTTCTCCGGGCCACTTCCCTTTCCCAGTGCTTAGTGGAGCCATCTCCAGATGCTTGCGGGGGAATCCCTCCGTCAGCTCTGGCAGCAAAGAGCCCTCATGCCTGAGGGCATGCACAAGGTCTCCCCAAGATGTAGACTCTGAAATAAACAGCTCTGGGTTCACACCCTCCATCTGTCACTTATGAGTTGTGTGTGGCCTCAGTTTTCTCATCCACAGAACGGGGATAACATATCCTCTTTCATCGCATTGTGCTGAGGGTTACATGAAATGGTGAATGGGCCTATCATTTACTGATTCTGGGGAGGGCTTTTCATATGTTAGCCTTCTCAACTCATTTAATGCTTAGGAGATAGGTATTATTGTTGTTCCCATTTTACACATAGGAAAACTGAGGCCCAGAGAGGTTGAGTGGCTTGTCTAAGATCGCACAGCTAAGTGGCAGAGGCCGAATTCAAACTCAGGCAGTTTGGCACAGCCCGCCCCCCCTCCCCCGTTTGTAACTTCCTCGAACAGGCTTGACCCCTTTTCCTTCCCTTACTGACCCTCTCAAGCTGGAGGAAGTCTTCCTTCATATAAGTTCCCACGGTGGCTCTATTATGGCACTTACCACCTGTCTTATGCATACTTGTAAAATATACATACTTGTAAGTACATCAGTCTCCCCACCTTGGCCTGTGCTCCATGGAGACAGAGACTCCTGACCTGGCTGGGGCCCAGAGCTGGGTAATGGGCTATGGGACTGAACAAGGCAGGAGCGGGAGGCAGGGAACAGAGCAGTGAAGAGGGGGTGGTCTGAGAGCCGACAGCTTGCCTCCGGGTTTGAGTATTTTCTAGCTGTGTGATAGGCAAATCAGTTCATTCCTCTGAGCCTCAGTCTCCTCATCTGTAAAATGAGTATAATAAACATTCCCACCTCAGTTGGTGTGAAGACAGAACTGGCCAGTGTGTCTCAAGTGCTCAGCACAGTCCTAATATGTATTAGGCGAGTTCACTATCCTGATGGCCCAGAGCCTTCAGAGACAGCGAGTCCAAGATGGTCTGACTGTGAGCCCCCTGGCTCATCCTCACGGAGTCACAAGCCACCGCCTCTCAGACCTGGACAGGGCTGGAGGGGCCTGGCCTCCCAGCCCACCGTGCAGAGGCCCCGGCCCTCACCTCTGCTGTCATCCTGGCTATGAGGCTGGTGGAGATGGCCCCACTGAGCACGTTCCGCCGCAGGCCAGGGTTCCTGGGGTCCTTGAGGTTGCTGATCCGGCTGCGCACGCGATTCCGGTACTTCATATCTGTGCCCTTGAGCTCCTGGTAGATATGTGACATGGTCAAGGGCCAGCCAGCCACTTGAGGAGGGGCCCAGGAGGATGGGGAGCCTCCCTGAAGCCTGAGGAGACCCAGGGCTGACTCTTCCTCAACTTGGACTTGTACAGGGGTCGGGCACTTCTGGGGCACTTGAGGGGATTTCAGTTGGGCATACGGGGTTAGCCACGGATCAGGGACAGGAACAGCCTCCGTGGTGAGGTCAGGTCATAGCAAGCTCTGTGGTGTCCGAGGCGCCAGGAATGGGCACCCAGGGTTAGGCTGAGCCTTCTGTATGACCTCGGGTGAGTCACCTGGCCTCTTCGTGCCTCAGTTTCCTTGTTTATAAATACAGGGCTGTTGTGAGGATTCTGTGAGCTAAGCTGCATAATGAACTAGTGTGGTGTCTGGGACATAGCAAGAGCTCAGCATTTAGGGGCTAAGATGAAAAGGTGAAGATTACCTCTAGCTACCTAGGGGCTGTGAGTCCAGCTGGCAGAGAAAAACAAGACTGGGAGCCACATGTTTAAGGCTCTAAGAAGTATTGCAATGAAGACATTGCTGCCCTGGCTGCTGGGCCCCGTGGTTAGAGCATTGGCCCTCCCACCAAAGGATCTCAGGTTCGATTCCCGGCCAAGGGCATGTTCGGGAGACAACCAATCCAGAGACACATCAATGTTTCTCCCTCCCTTTCTCCCTCCTTCCCTTCCTCTCTCTCTAAAAATCAATGGGAAGAACATTCTCCAGTGAGGATTAAAAAGAAAGAAATGGCTGAGCTCTGTTCAGCCTGGTGCCCCAGTTCTGCAGTGAGAGTCCCCTTTCTCTAGTAACCCTGTTACCGTCCCCGGCACCTACTTCGGGACTGGCTGGTCAGAGTTAGGTGTCTCATTAGTAGGTGAGGAAGCTGAGGCTTAGGAGGGGTGCAGGCCCTCGCTCAAGGTCACGGCAAATTCCCGGCAGAGACAGGGCTGGGAGCCAGAGCCCCCCCCCCATGCTCTCCGCTCAGGAAGCTGCCCCTGGCCGCGGCCCACAGTGACGTCTGTCCCTGCAGATGCTGCATCCCCGACGGGCCCCCTCTGCAGGAGCCCCGGGGACAGCATTTGCTCGTCTCCTAAGAGCAAGATGCAGCCCTTTCTGGGAAAAGCCCCAGAGGAGGGGGAGGCTGCGGGCAACGCGGAGAAAGGGAAACAGCTGACTTGCTAGAAGCTGTGGGAAGGGCGGTGGTATAATTTGTTTTTGTTTGTACAATAAAAAAATGTAAAAAGGAAGAATATGCCATGATGCATCTGAAAGCCAAACCACTTGCTTAAAAACCCGTGCTTGGGGTCCCCGGAGGCACCTGCTCACGTGGGGACAGGAGGGCCTGCTCTGTCCCGAGGCCGCAGGGGAAGAGCAGGCGGAGCAGGCCCTGGGTGCCAAGGGCCCCTCAAAGGACACACGCACGCCCCACAGCTGCCAGCCAGTCAGGGCCGCCCTGAAGAGCACAGAGCTGTCGGCCGACAGACACGCAGGCCTCGGCCCGACCTCCCACCCCCAGGAACAGAGCCCAAGGGGCGGCGCAGCTCGGACTCCCCCCTTCAGTGGGGGCAGGAGGCACAGAGAGGCCGCGAGTGGGACGAGGCCCTGGACCACGCGCCTTTGCTTCAAATGGGCTTGAAGGTGGAAGGGACCTGCTTGGAGGGACAGCTGCTCGCGGGAAGACAAAGAGGAAGCCCGGGCTCTGTGTTCGGAATTCGTTAGACATTATGAACCTGTACGTGGTGAGATGCTGGACAGCTCAAGACGTGCTGTTAACAACGGGGTGATGATGCAGACGAACCCCCAGATGTGCTGGAGTGTATTAGAGCGGCCTCAGGCAGCAGCTCGCCCCAACCCCAGCTGAGCTCCCCAGGTAAAGCCCAAGAGGTCACAAAAGGGCCACCTCAGTGTGACACCAGACGCCCTCTCCCCTGGGTGTTCTGTCCCCCTCCCTCCACTGCTCCCTGACATGCAAAGCTTTGCCTCCAGTAAAAGAAACTCCAGCATTCACTCAATGGGGCACAGCGCTGAGGGATTTTTGCCTCCAGGACAAATCTTTTGGGGCCCATATCATGCAGGTGGTCACCTCCTCTGCCCACACCAGGCCCCTTTCAGAGAGTGAGAAAATGGGGCATATGGAGAGAGCTCAGGACGTGGAATCCAAAGACCAAGGTTTTTAGTCTAGCTCTGCCACCAGTAGTTCCTAAGCCTCAGTTTTCTCATCTGTGAAATGGGAACAACAGCCCCTGCCTCACAGAGATTGTTGTGAGAATTAACAGAGGTAGGAAGTGTCAGTTGCCCATCACAGTGCTTGGTACATATCGGGCAATAAAAAAATGGGAGCTGTTATCTTCAGAGGTTGGAAGAAGGGGGACGGCTGGGCATGAGAAATGATGTCCTCACTGTCTACTTGACGTCGCAAACTAGATATGTTATGACACAGTCCGTNCAACTACTTGCCGTCGCAAACTAGATATGTTATGACACAGTCCGTCTGGCACAGTGGTTGGNTGACGTCGCAAACTAGATATGTTATGACACAGTCCGTCTGGCACAGTGGTTGGGTCTTCAGCCTCGGGAATCCCATTTCCTGGGTTCCAATCCCAGCTATGCCACTACTATTTGCTGTGTGAGCTTTGGCAAGTGACTTAATCTCTCTGAGCCTCAGTTACGTCGCCTGTGAAACGGGATTAATGAGGAAACCTACCTTGTGGGTTGTTCTCAACACTGAATGAGGTACTGTTCATAAAGAGCCTAGCACGAGGCCGGCAGGTACAAGACTTAATAAATGTTAGCTAGAATGAAGAACTCTGGTTCAGGGGCAGAGCAGGGAGCTGTCCCTGGAGCCCTTTTCCTCCCTGCTCACTGTCCTGGGTCCCTTGCACTTGGGAGACCTGCTGCTGGACAGTCCAGGCACCAACAGCCTTGGCAAAGCTCAAGGATATGATCTTCAATTTCTGATGCCATCTTGTCACAGTTGACTCCATAGTCCTTGTAATCATCTAAAAGAGATTGGGAAACACAGGCATCAGCCAGACATGACCTTGGCAGTGAGGCTTGCTGGTACCGGGGGCTGTACAGTGTCCTGTTCCCCCATGGCCCTGAGAAAGACCACGTCTCATCTGCCCTTGGGAAGCCCTTCCCTCCCCCATCCCTGGCCCAGGGCCTCTCACCATCCGCCTTCAGGGCTGCAGAGAGCATCTCTACACACTTGTCCCGGACAGAGTCCCCTGTGAGATAGCAGGGTGCCAGGAGGCAGACGGAGGGGGCAAAGGTGGGGCTCGAGGGGCTGCTGGGTGTTCTGGGGGAGGTCTCCGCTTTCGATTTGCTGCTGTTTGATCTGAGGATGACAATCAGTAATTGACATTCTGACATCAAGCAAACAAAGCAGTTAATGAGCAATGATCTCCTTTAAACTCCTAACAACCCCACGAGGTTGCTACCATTCTTATCTCCAGTTTAGAGTTGTATTTTAAAGTGCATTTTGGAGACAGATGCATTCAAAGATGCATTTTAAATAATGTCACTGAGGTCACATACCTGGAAATCCATAGAACCAGAATCCCAAGCAGTTGAACTCAGGTACCCAGGCTCTTAACCCATCACTGTGCTCTACTGGTTACAGAACAGTGTAACAACGCCCAAAACTATCCACGAGGCGCTGTTTGGTTTCGCATGAGGGTTCTCCTTCGTGGTTTGTAGACAGCACCTTCTCACGGTATCCTCACACGGTGGGGAGAGAGCTGGCGAGCTCTCAGCTGTCTCCTCTTATAAGGACACTACTCCTATTGGGCCAGGCTCCACCCATATGACCTCTCCTAACTTTACCTCCATAAAGGCTCTACTTCCAAATTCAGTCACACTGGGAGCCGGGGCTTCAGCATATGAATTTTGGGAGGGAGGGGTCAATAACATTCAGACCGGAACACCATATTAATAGCAATGATCTCTCAGAGATGAGATTATATAGGAGATTTTAATTTTCTTCTTTTGCTTATACATATTTTCTAAATCTTCTATGAAAAAGATCTACTTTTGTAATGAGGAACACTTTTTTTTTTTAAACATTTGACAATTATGAGTGGTAATTGTGTGCTGATGGCTCAGACAGGCTTCCTGTCTTCCCAGTGTCAAGGAGCTGCCAGCAAAAGGTGGAAGAAGCCTGACTGTCCACGGATAGATGGATGATATATAAACAAAATGCAGGATATGCACACAGAGGATGATCATTCAGCCACGAAAGGGAATGAAATCCTGAAACACACTACAACATGGATGAACCCTGAAGATACTATAAGTGAAATAAGCCAGATACAAAAGGACAAATATTGCATAATTTCACTTATATGAAGCACCTGGAATAGTCAAATTTATAGGGACAGAAAGAATGGTGGTTGCCAGGGGCAGAGGGAGGGGGTTTGGGGAGCGAGGGTTTGATGGGCCCAAAGTTTCAGTCGGGGACGATGGAAGGGTTCTGGAGCTGGATGGGGTGACAGTTGCACAACAATGCGAATGTGCTTGATGCCACTGAACTGTGCACTTAAAACGGTTCAAATGAGAAAATGTTGTTATGTATATTTCACCACAGTAACAAAACCTATACAGTAACCTCAATGACTGAGAGTAGCCAGAAAACCTGAAACATGCAGTGAAAACCTGTTTTAAATATTTGGTAAATCTTAGTCCCTTTGAAATGATAAAATATCTCTTTTTCTCATGTTAAAGAAAGGTTAAATTGGCAAGTTTTGTTACGTATATTTTATCAAAATACTTTTTTTAAAAAAAAGAATGAAGTCCTGATAAATGCAGCCAAAACAAACAAACGAAACAAAAACGCGAAAAAACAGGCCAAGGTTCAGATTCTCAGCTCCACGTTGATCCCTTTCGGGTCCTTGCAAAGAGGATGCTGGATGACGCTGGTGGTGGCCGGTGACAATCAGCGTCACGATGCCCGACCTCACCACATGGCTTAAGAAAGGTCACACAGGTCCCAGCGCCATGCAATCTGGTCCAAGAAATTCAGCAAGAGATGGGGAGTAGGGCTGGCCACTGGGGGCAGGACAAGGCGTTCCTGGCAGAAGCGCAGGGAAGGGCGAAGGGGCACAGTCTGCAGGGCGGCTGCAGCGCCAGGGGGCGGGGGCTGGAGGGACAGGATCTGGTCAAACCCTTGGGCTTACGGATGGTAACAGCTAAAGCCACCATTTACTGCCTTTTGTCACCTATTCCTCTCCGCGAGCCTGAGAGTCACAGTTACTGGCCCCACTTCACAGATGAGAGGATGGAGTGATAGCTGTCCAACGGCCTCCCTTTCAGGCAGGTTTCTGCACTACTCTTGGGAGGGGACAAGCAGGCCGCATGTCTATGCCGTCACCTCTTGGCTCTTCCCAGTCTCCTCTTTCGTCACCCATCAGGGGTGCTAGCCAGCCCCCTGCCTCCCAGGGAGAGCTGACTCATCAGAGTTGAAGAAATTAGGGGCCCCTCCTTCCTCCACTCTGCGTTCTGGCTGCACTGAGCCCCGGTGGCTGGTTCCCAAGGGCAGCTGTGTCTCCTACCTCCAGGGGGCGCCATTCACATTGGCGCCCGGGTGCCTCTTGGAGTTGCCCAGGCCACAGCCCTGAAGCTATGGATGCAGGTTTTCCCTTCGGGAAGATGCTGCTGGGCTTCTGAAAAGTGAGGCCCAAGGAGCTGTGTCTGACAGTGAGGCCGACTGAGTGGCCCAGGCTTCCCCTCGTTAAAAATCTGGGGTTACGAGAGAATCTCATCCAACATCCCGCCGAGCACTGTTCAAGGTGAGTTCTGCCGGCGACCTTTCCGTCCCCTAGACCTTGCTGTTTGGCCTGGTCTTGGACCACTGGGACTGATGTGCTCTCTGGAGCCTTGAGTTCCTCCAGGGTGTCTCAGTGGGGTGTGCTGGGGAGGGAAGGCTCTGTTCTCATAAGGTTTATATTTTAACTTCCCAAAAATGTTGTCCAAAGGGATTTCTAGCTTTTATATTTTTAAAAATGCCGTTTGAACCTTACTGTTTTATGACTAACTTATCCTGGACTCTACCCAGCCCTGCCTGACAACCCGGTGGCCTGGCAGCGGGGCACAGGGATGGGGGAGCTGGGATCCAACCAGCTCTCTCCTGGAGTCAGATTTCAGCAGCAGGGAAAGGTGTGGGTGACAGACAGCTGGGAGGGGTATGAACTGGAGAGTCTAGGGGCTGCCTTCTACCAAAATGAATCTCCCTGCACCCAATTCTGGCCCCAACCACTGGGCTCTCCCCCGCACAGCCACAAGAGCCCCGAAGCCGGTCTCCCTGCATCGTCTTGACCCCCTTACAAAAGTCTACTTGCTATACAACAGCTGGGCAGGGGCGAGGGGGTTTTAAAAACTCACACCTGACCCCATTACTCCCCTGCTTCTGACATTCTAATGGCTTCTAATTATTTTCAGCATAAAGTAAACTCCTCACTGTGGCCTCCCATCCCCCCTCATCTGGCCCCTGACCATCCTCTGACATGATCTCATGCCGCACCCCCCTCACCATTCACTGAGGCCTTTACTGCCCTCCAGCTTTCTGGTCCCTAAACACACCTGTCCTTCCACCACAGTGCCTTTGCACAGGTGGCCCCTACTCCCAAAAGGCTCTTCCTCCTCCAGATTCTCCTATGACTGGTTGTTTCCCACCAATCAGGCCTCTGCTCAGATATCACATTCTCAGGGAGGCCTTCCCTCCCCATCCCAGCCCTGCCCTGCAACTCTCTAGCACATGACCTAATTTCTTGCATTCATAGCACTTATCCAAGTCTATAATTAACTTGTTTATGTGTTTACAAACATTGCCTCCATCTCCAGATTACAGGTTCCACAGTATAGGAACCCCATTGGCCTGTTCACCACTGTCTTCCAGCAGCTGTAACAGTGCTCTGGGTAGGAACTCAGTGAACCTTTGTTGATGAATGAATACAGAATGAGTTGAGGGAGCTGAACACAGAGAGTTGAAAGGTACATCCAAGGGCTCTAGACATAGATGAGCTGGGTTGGGGGACAGGCCTTCTTTGGAAGGCCAGTGACTTAAGAGAAGGATCTCTCTCTGAGCCAGTGTCTGTCAACTCCTATGACCTGGACAACCCATCTCCGACAACTGTGACGGCGCTCTAGATCCTTCCTGGTGCTGCCTCTCACTGACCTGTGTGCTCCATCACCACATCCTCAATGTCTAGGGCTCAGCAGTGGGGAACCACCAGGGGGAGCCTGAGGATGCTGCTTGGGAGAAGATAGCATAGCAAAGAACAGTAATAACATTGTCATTTAGGGAATGCCTACACGGAGGTGCTATAGTTATTAAGAGCCCAGGCTCCAAAGCCAAACTCCCAGGTTCAAGGCCTGACACCACTTTGTAGCTATGTGACTTTGGGTGAGTACCTTCTCCTCCAGGTGCCTCAGTTTTGGGGATCATAATAGTACCCATCTTATAGAGTTAACAGGATTAAAGCACCTAAGAGAATTCTACAAAGTGTTAGGCAATTTGCATAGGTTACCACATTAAGTGTATTATTACTAAGCATTATGTGCTTATTGAGCACTTACATGGGTTGGAACAGTGCTAAACATTTCATGACCTCATTTGATCCTCACAATAACCTTCAAGGGGGTCATTATCCCCATTTTATAGGTCAGTAGACTGAGGCTCAGAGAGCTGAACTGACTTGTCCAAGGTCAGACTACAAATCTAGGTCTGCCTGCCTTCCAATCCCTTTTAATACTTTTCACTGTGTATCTAAAGGGCAGAGTTTTCCAGAATCCCCTTACCTGGGCGAGACTAGGCTGCTGGCTGCATTTTTTCCCCACCTTCCTGGCAACGCACTCCCAGTCCCAGTGCCTCCTCTTGGCTAGGAGCCCTGGTTGGCTGGAATTCGTTTCTAGGTGGCATTTCAGGCAGCCACCCTCATTTTGCTTTCAATTCACAGAACTGGGAACTGAGTCCAATTGCAGAGAGGGTGGAGGTGGGGGAATGGATTGATCACAGCTTCCTTCTGCTTCCCGGATGTGTCAGCGACAGCACCAGCCTGCGGTCTGATGCCCCTAAGAGCTTAGACAACCCTCCCACCCCAGGAGGCCTGCNACTAAGCGCTTAGACAACCCTCCCACCCTAGGAGGCCTGCTCGCTGCCCCCGCGCGCCATCTGGAGGGCACTTCAGTTACTGCACCGCCGAGCCCCGAATCTGCTCAGGTGCGAACAGGACCAGTTGCCACAGCTGGGGCCTCGGGCCGCTGAAAAGGGACAACCGTCTTCCCTGACACAGCGGCGCCCTTCGTCTGTCCCTGGTACTCCAGCCACAGTTCGCAGAGCGCCATACTCACTCACACTGCCACACCTCTGCATGAGCCATTCCCTCTGCCTGGGATGCTCTCGGGTTGTCTACCAGGCAAACGCCTGCTCATTCAGCTGTTAATTTTCAGCACAAATACCCTCTTCCATGAAGTCTCCTCTGACTTCTCAGATCATAATGAAACACTCTTCCGATGTTCCCATTGTGTGTTGTATCTTAAAAAACACACACAAGTATTTTGGTGTCTGTCTCTACACTGGTAATTAGCTATACGAAGGCAGAGATCAGGAGTTTCAATCTTTGCCTGTCTTAGAGGTTGCAAACTGGAGGGCTACAANAACACACAAGTATTTTGGTGTCTGTCTCTACACTGGTAATTAGTATATGAAGGCAGAGATCTGGAGTTTCAATCTTTGCCTGTCTTAGAGGTTGCAAACTGGAGGGCTACAAATATATTTTGTTTGCCTTACTGTGTCCTAGAAAAAGGCAAATATGCTGCCAGTGTTTAAATTGGGGGTCTCATATTAAAATCTAGATGTCTAGTTTCTCTTAAAAAGCTGGGAGCCCGGCCGGGCGTGGCTCAGCGGTTGAGCATCGACCTAGGATCCNCAGTTTCTCTTAAAAAGCTGGGAGCCCAGCTGGGCGTGGCTCAGCGGTTGAGCATCGACCTAGGATCCAGGCAATCGGGGTTCGATTCCTGGTCAGGGCACGTGCCCGGGTTGCGGGCTAGGCAGCCGATCAGTGACTCTCATCATTGATGTTTCTATCTCTCTTTCTCCCTCTCCTTTCCTCTCTCTGAAATCAATAAAGATTAAAAAAAAAAAAAGAAAAGCTGGGAGACATGAAACACTGGGCCTGCATGTCCATAAAGCAACCTCCAGCTGGGGCTAGGCAGTGGGCGCCCCCTACAGGTGGGCAGGTACTCCCCATTTTGCCATAGTCCCCACGAGTCACCCAGGTTGTGCACATGTCTTTGACCCCTGAAGGATGTTGCTTGCAAGGAGGTGCTCAACAAATGTGTACACCAGATGTACGGATGGATAGGTGGGTGGGTGGCAGAGAAAAATGAGGCAGAGGTAGAGAGTGCAGGAAACAGTCTGAGTAGTGGATAAAGTGAATTTATAAGACTTGCTCCTGTCCCTTTGGGTTGCCTGCCTGAACCAGCAGGAAATGGCACAACTGCTGAAAGGACAAACATATTCTGTTTGACCATCAGAAAAAGAGTTCATTATGTGGAGGAGCCAGGAGACTTCGAGGCCACAGGCAAGGTCAAGAGAGGAGCCTGAAGGTATAAATCCTTCCACAAATGTTGAATGTTTATATTATAGCATCAAATCCAGAACTGGATTAGTGGTGTTTCATTCTGGGATAGGACAATCCTTCACTATGCAGGGCTGCCCTTCACATGCCAGGGTGTTTAGCATCTCTGACCCCTGCCTACTAAATGCCGGAGTGCTCCTCCCCTACTCCTATTAGAGACAGAATATTTGTGTCCTACCAAATCCATATGTTGAAATCCTAACCGCCAATGTGAAAGTATTTGGAGGCAAGGCCTTTGAGAGATAATTAGGTTTAGATGAGGGTGGGGCCCATGATGGGATTATAGTCCTTATAAGAGGAGGAAGAGAGACCAGAGTGTTCTCCCTTCCCCCAGTCATGTGCAGACAGAGCAAGAAACGAGAAGGTGGCCGTCTGCAAGCCAGCAGGAGGGCCCTTCCCAGGAACAGAATCGACTGCACCTTGATCTTGGACTCCCTGCCTCCAGAACTGTGAGAAATAAATGTCTGTTGTTTAAGCCTCGCAGTCCATGGTATTTTGTTATAGCAGCCACAGCTAAGATACCCCTCAAGTCAACAGTGACAACCAAAAATGCTCCCACAAATTTCTAAATGATCCTCCGTTGAGAACCACTGGTTCAGGACCAGGATGACACTGGGGCCTCCTAGGGCTCCCTCATGGCAGACATTGCTCATGGACCACAGAGCTCTCTTCTTCAGAGACAGGATGAGCCTGACTCCCTCTCCAAGCAGCACTCTGAGAGCCTCCACTCATCAGCTGCCATGTGCGAATCAGGCAAGACGGCGGCCCGTCAACATCTCAGGCCTGTTCCATCCTCATAAAGCCTTCAACAACCTAACTGTTGTGCCTCTTCTTTTCTTTCCAGTGGAAGTCTTATTGGTACATTAGACCTAAAATAGCTGTACACCTCCCACTCGCACTCGCCTAGAAGCCAACCTACTGTCCCACCTGGTTGTCCCAGCATCCAATATGGCCCCTGGGCCCTTATCCTTTGCCCCAATCCACCTCCAAGCCACTTCCCGGCCTGCGCCTCTCCCTTGGCGCTGCTTCTCCTGCTCTGATCTCTGAGCTCCCTCCTGGACTCTAATTCACACTCACTCCATACCCACAACCTCTCTGCAGTGATCTCATCCAGCTTCAAACGCTAGCCACACACTAACGACTCTGAAACGTATATTCCCGGCCCTGACTTTCTTCCAGAATTCCAGCCTGGTATAACCTAACTGCCCATTCAGCTTCGCCACCGGAATGACTGGTACACGGCTCAAAGCCCACATATCCAAACCTGGACTCTGGGTCTCCCGCCGCAGCCTGATTCACTCAGTCCTCCCCCCACCAAACAACGGCAACTCCATCCCTGCAGGTAGATAAAAGACGCTCAGCCGAAAAGTCTTGGAGTCATCCTGACCCTTCCTTTGCTCCTGTGCCCCACATCCAATCTGTCAGGAAGTCCAGTGAGCTCTGCCTTCAAAATCTATCTGGAGAGGAGTCTACCGCTCTCCCCACCTGCTGCCACCTGGAGCCACCGTCACATCTTGAGTCTGAATTATGGAGTCTCCTGGTCTCTCTGCTTCTGCCCTGACAATCCATTCTGGGCACAGCAGCCCAAGGGAGCCTGACAAGCCTGATCATATAATTTACATGCTTAATACCCTCCAGTGGCTCCTGTTTCACTCCACCCTCCAACTGTACCACTATTCACTTTAGCCCCACTGGCCACCTCACAGCTCCTTAGGCTGGGAATGACCCCAACGTCTCCATGGCTAATTCCCTCATCTGTTTAAGTTTTTGCTCAAAGGTCATGTCCTCAACGAGGGCTCTTCTGACCGCCCAATGACTATGTTTTCCCAGTCCTCTCACCCTGCTGTTTTCCACAGCACATGTCACCTTCTAAACCGTTGTATAATTTACTGATTATATGTATTTTTGTGTCCCATTAGAATACAGGCCTCGTGGCTGCAGTAATTTTGTTTCTTTTGTTCACTGCTGTATCCTTAGCACCTAGGGCAGTTCCTGGCACATAGTAGGCCCTCAATAACTATTTGATGAATGAAAGACTTGATGACATATGCTATTCTGAGCTAGATATCCTAACCAGTTCAGCCCCAAACCAGAGTTCCCACTCCAGGCATAGGCTCTCTGTCTTCACTGGGTTCAGCTTGACTTCAAGAATGTTCCCCAGACAGTGATGGGGCAACAGTGACTAGTGAGCCACCCCAGTGAAGGAGCCACACCTCTGATTTAGGGGTCCCCTTAGTTTTTTTTTTTTAAATATTTGTTTATTAAAAAAATTTTTTTTTCAATTATAGTTTACATTCAATACTATTTTATATTAGTTTCAGGTGTATAGCATATGCAGTGTATGGCATATGTAGTGGTTAGACAATCATATACTTTACAAAGTGTCCCCCTGATATTTCCAGTACCCACCTGGCACCATACATAGATATTACAAGATTATTGACTATATTCCCTATGCTGTGCTTTACATCCCCGTGACTGTTTTGTAACTGCCAACCTGCACTTCTGATCTCTTCACCTTTTTCACCCAGGCCCCCAACTTAGTCTCCCTGTGTGGATCCTAGATTTCAGAGGCAACTTATGAGGTTTCCTCCTTCCCCAGCCTCAGGCGTCCTACATTAAAGCAGAGAGAGGTACACATGCTGAACGGGACCTCTGGGGCGGAGAAGTCCATGGCTCCCCTTACCTTTCCATCGATGGTCTTCTTGGAGAGGAGGTGGCCGAAGAAGACTTGGAATCCACAGAGTCTCTCCTGAAAGACGAGAAATCAGAGGTGAGACTCTCCCAGGCCAGCATCAGTACTGATCTAGAGAGAGCAGAGGCGGGGGGAGGCATCCTGGAGCCCGGCCTGCTGGCCTGAGGGTGATCGAGCCCACCTGGGCCAGGGCCGTGGGAGAGGAAGCTCCAGGTGGTGCTGGCGGGGCCCCCTCCCCCCCGCCTACCCTCGATCCCACGGGTCAGATATGGTACAGGTGTTGTGTCATGTGTTTCTCATTATAAATAACTACTCCTTGGCAGGCCCCTCTCCCGTCAGGCAGGCCTTGGCTAGCTGGAGTCCACGGAGATTGGAATTCCTGGGATTGCCTCGCCTCCCCTGCAGGCACCTTAGGGGGAGGGGAGGAGAAGCACATGGGCCTTGGAGAGAGAAGAGCTGCGTTAAAATACAACTGAAAAATCAGGATACAAAATTAGATGTATACTCTGTCTAAAGCCTTGCAAGAAAATGCCTACGAGGAAGTAAGATCGAAAGACAATACATCCAAATGCTAACTATGGTCATATTAGGATGGTGGGGTTAGAGGTGAAGTTTTTCCCCATTTTCCAAAGTGCATGTAGCTACCTTTTCTTATGGAATATAATTTTCCTTCTTATTGGTTTGATAAAATTAATCAGTTTGTAAATTGCAACCGCCACTCCCTCTCTCACTTACTTAGCTCCGCTTTGAATTCAGCACAGGTGTCACCTTCTAACAGACTATGATTTTCTTATTATATGTATTGTCCAAACCCCCCCCATGTAAATTCCACAAGGGCCGAGTTCGGTGGGTTTTGTTCACTGTGGTGGACACTGTCCTTGCTGAGCCCATATCATCTCCTCGGGCACGCATCTCCCCAGGGCGCTGGGACCCAGGGACTTTCTCCTGCAAGCTCCCCAGGGCTCCAGTTGGGCCGGGCAGCCGGGAGGCTGGAGGCGCTAGGTGGATGGGTGTGTGCCCCACCTTCCTCGGCCCTCAAGTGGGTCAAGCCAGCTGTGCCCTCCACTGTCACACAGAGTTCCCGAGCAGGATTTAAGCCCTGGTCGCCCGCAGCAGTAACCGGCTCACCAACACACCTGCCCTGGCTTCCTTCCCTTCCCCGTCTCACTTCCCCGCTGTCTCTCGGCATTTCCTGAGGTCATTTCCTAAATAGACCCGCTGCACCCGAACCCAAGTCTCAGGGTCTGCTCCCGGGGGAGGCGATCTAATATATTCAGTGACGCATCCAAACAGAGAGGCTAGTGCCCGGCTGGCACAGGGTTGCTGCTCTGTGAATATTTGTTGCTGAATGCTATAAAGTCAAACAGTATAGAAATATAAAAACGAACAAAGTGAGAAAGCAAACCTCCCCAGAGGTAGCAACTATTTAAGTTTAACGTCCTTCCTTCCAGAGCTTTTCTACAGGCACACAAACATACATAACGTTTAGCATTCTAAAAAGGGAGGCCGTGACATGAGTTGTATTCCCAGCTCTGCCCCAGGGCAGGTCATTTTCTCTGAGCCTCCGGTTTCCTCACCTGTCAAATGAGAAGGAAAGAACCTATGTCCTGGGGCTGTCTGGGAGGAAGACATGAGATCATTCATGTCCCTACAGCGGTGCCCAGCACAAATAAGTCCTTATGCTCCATAATCCAGGGCATCTGATTTCTTGTTTTCCAGCCTGTGCAATGTTCCTGAATGGATCTCCAGCCCCCAACTCCCCTGCGGGTGGTCTGGTAGACGGTGGGCGAGGCCGCTTTAGGGGCCAGGCCTAAGTACCCTGGCGACCAGGCCCCTCAGGCTCTGGCCCTTCACTCCAGCTGGAACGAAGGGGAGGCAGAGGGGAAGCTACCAGAAATATTCTGCAGTTACTGTAAATGATCATTATGGGAAGTATTCAGAAACAGGAAAAAATACCTAGAATACAACAGGAAGAGGAGTGAACGGGAACATAGTTGTCAGTACACCCCACGCACAGGAGGGGCAAATTCCCTACGCGAGCAGCCCAGGGCCCGAGGGAAGGCGGAAAATAAAAACCGCTTCATCTGTCAGAGGTGGCACACTGCGGACAAATATTTTCAATCCTTATTTTATTTTTTTAATTGATTGGAGAGAGAGAGAGAGACATCAATGCGAGAGAAACACCGATCGGCTGTCTCCCCTAAGCGCCCCGACCACCTTTTGGTGTATGAGACGAAGCTCCAACCAACTACGCCACACCGGCCAGAGTTTAATTCTTATTTTAAATTTCACTAATGTGGTTATAGTGTTTATATAATAAATAATGATAATAAATTATCATTAAGAAAACTGAAAACAAGGGAGGTTCACCAATTTAGCTGAAATAGGACCCTTGCCAACTTGATTCGCCCAGCAAGGTGGGGAGACAACCGCCCCAACTCTCTGCTCAGCCACGGTGACATAATGGCTGTGTGATCCTGGGAAAGTCCTGCTCCCCAACCTTCAGTCTCCTTGTCACTAAGTGGGAATTTTGAATAAAGAGCCAGCAAAACACTTCTCTCTCTACGGGCAAGTAAGTTCCCAGCGCCATTTTCCTGCAGCCCTGACAAAGGTGGAATGTCAGCTGCATTTCCAGGCAATTTGCTCCTAGGACAATGGGCCTTGATTGGTAAATGGTGTCTAGGCAGGAAGGCTGTGAGTGAACTCTAAGTAATTAGTGAAAATCCACAGCTTTTGGGCTGTCCCAAGTGCAGGGAATCTTGTCACTGGTCAGTGCCCTTGTTGGGATCCTGGAAGTTTTGTCTATGGGACTGTTACAAGCTTTGGGACATAGGATGCCTAAGACAGGGAGTTCCCACCCATTGTGGTCGCATTTCCCTGCACCTGGGCTGTTACCTGGGTGGGCTAGAGCACAGCTCTGGATGCTGTGTTGTCCCCTATGAGAACGCTTGCTGATGAGGAAAGGCCTGAGTGTGTCAACAACACCGTTTCCTGTCCCTGCATCCTTCTAGATGAAGCCAGTGCCAGAGATGGCCTATCTGGGTCTTGTGAGTCCCTCTGGTTGAGCTCCAGAGGGGGCCCTGTAGGAGGTAATAATAATAACCACCTCTCGGGTAGTGAGGATTAAGTGAAGTTATATATAAACACAACTGCTGGCAGGGGCCGCGACAAGTGTCAGCCCCCTTCTCTCTATCCCAGAAAAACATACCTGTCTTTGGGCTCTTCCCCTTGTTTTGTCCTTGGCGGAGAAAGGCCTGCGTCTGGCTTCCAACTGGAACAGTCAAGTTCTTTTTCTTTCTTCTTGGCTTTTTCTCTCTCATCTCTTTTTCCAGCTTTGGGGGACCCAGGGGAGTCTGAAAACAAAAGCGTGGCAGCACTGCTCACTCAGCTCTGTCTCAGTTGAGCCCAGCATGGCTCTGTGGAGGAAGGAGCAAAGGGCAGGGACAGGGACAGCTGCACATTCCCCCAACACACACATTTATACACAGATGCACATACAATATGCAAATATGTGTGCAAATCCACACTCACACGTGGGGACAGAAAAATATTTGCACACATACCTATGCACATGTTCATACAACTATGTATCTACAGACAAGTACAAACACACAAGCAAACAGAAATACGCACATAGGCACACACGTCATGAAAACTTACAGATCTACAAGTCTCACACTTGAGTAGGCAAACACTGACACTCCCCACTAGAGGCCATCTGTCATGTATTAAGTCATTCAACAAACACACACTGAGTGCCTGCTCTGAGGCAGGCGCAGTCTTGTCCCAGGTGCTGGGAGAAAAGCAGCCCCCTCTCACCCAGCAGCCGCTTCCATTTTTTGATGAGGACTTTGGCCAAGGACACCACCTCCTTGTCTGAGCAGTACTTCCGGACCCCGTTAACGGCGACTCCAATCCTGGTTGTCTGCAAAGCAAGAGGGTTAGGGTCTGGCCTGGGAATGGACACACAGGACTGGCTGCCCTAATCGACAAGACCTGGCCTGGTTCAACCACCCCCTTCCCCAAGCCTCAACTTCTCCAGAGCCCCAGCCCTGTCCTGAGGCTGAGATAATAACGCTGATCCTATAACTGAGGCCCTGACCTGCCACCCCTTGCGAGGGCCAGCGCCCCAGGCTCAGCCCCCTGCGCAGATGGGTAACTGAGCTTTGGTGAAAAGCTGAGGTGGTGGTGGGTCCAGCTGGTGATGAGAACCCCTCCCCATTCCCAGCCCCCGGGTGTGGTTTCACCTTAAGATACAGCTCTGGCTACCAAAGCTTGGGTCTGTGCTGATATTTTCAGGGCCAAGAGCGTCTGGTAATGTTTGGGGGCTACATACGCAACACAGGGAGGATTGAAAAATGGGGGGCTTTTCTCTGGATCATTGGCCTCTTACATCCCACAAGCCCAGGGCCTTAGGAAGTGGGGTAGTCAAGGAAAACACACCATTCTTTCTCCCAGACCCAGAGGGCCCCTGTGCTTGGAAGGTCCCCTGTGTCCATCTAAATGCCTCAGTCCCCACCCTCAGAGCACCTCGGGATCCCCCAGCCCTCTCCCAGAACTTCCCCCCAGGCCCCACCCTTGGAGGTCTCCCCCCACCCGCAGCACTGTCCCCAAAGCTTTCCGCCCCCGCCCCACCTGGAGTAGCTGGATGGACATCTGACAGCTGTTCAGCTTCTTCAGAAGGTCGAGGGCCCCTTCCTGTGGGAGGCCACAAGGTGAGGACTGAGGGCCCTGGGTTCTGCCCCAGGCCCCTCTCTGACCACTGTGTGGTCTTGGTAGGAAAGAGGAGGGGAGGAGGTGGGGAGGAGACTGTTCTAGTTACAAGACACAGGCAGACAGGCAGTTGAAGGACAGGCAAGGGACAGAAGGAAGGCGGGAGAAGGAAAAGACTCTGCCCCAGCCCAGCTCTCCGCTTCATCCCTGTCGCCCAGGCTGGGGTCAAACCCCTCCGAGCCAGGCTACAGCTCTAACCACGTTCCCTGACCCCTAGCCATTGGCTCTGCGGTTCTTCTACGGGGTACGCTCCCCCTTCCCAATCTCTTCCTCTAAAGTAATTACTTTGCAGCTTATTATTATTGCTTTTGTGTCTTACCCTCCCCTCCTCACTTTCCAACTGTGAGCTTCTGCAGGGTGAGGACTGTGGCTTTTTTTTTTTACGACTTATCGACGTCTTATGAACACACAATAAACTGGACATATTGTAGGCTACAATACGATGAGTTTTGACGTATGTATACACCCAATCACCACAATCAAGATAAGAACCTAGCCACCATCCCCAAAAGTTTCCGAGTTCCCCTCTGTAATCCATCCCTCCTTGTACCCCCAACCCCATGCCCAGGCCACACTATTCTGCTTCCTGTCGTGATAGATGGGCTTGCATTTTTACGGATCGTACATCAAGAGCACCGTAAGAGGCTTCTTTTTATCTGGCCTCTGTCACTCAGCGTACTTAGAGACGCATCCTCGCTGCCGTGCACAGCAGCTCCTGTTCACTGCTGGGTGGCTTCCCACTGCAGGCATGTGCCACCTGCGGATGGACTCTCGGTAGCTTCCAGGTTGGGGCCACTACAAATAAGGCCACTAGGAACATTCATGGGCAAGTCGTTGTGGACATACAGTTTCATTCCTCTTGCACAAAGAGGGCGGTTTGAATCTCTGAGACCTCAGGGTTCAGTACACAGCCATGGCTCCCCGAGCAAATGCATCAAGCAGAAAGCAGAGGCGGGAGGGGAGGCCAGGAGGGGGAGAAAGGAGACTCAGATTTGAAAATCTGAAAAAAAAAGAAAAAGAAAAAAAACAAACCCACCGGGCGTGGCTTCAGCAGTTCAGCATCGACCTAGGATCCAGGAGATCGGGGTTCGATTCCCGGTCAGGGCACATGCCCGGGTTGCAGGCTAGGCAGCCAGTCAACGACTCTCTCATCATTGGTGTTTCTAGCTCTCTCTCCCCCCCCCCCCTTTCCTCTCTCTGAAATCAATAAAGATATATTTTTAAAAAAAAGAAAGAAAATCTGCCGGCTGCCAGGCCCTGACATAGCCCTGACCCACTTCAGCTATCTCCTTCCTCCCACCCACTTCCTAGAAACCAGCCCCAGCCTCCTGTCCTGAGCTCGGTTCCCTGGGGAGCACCAGCCGACTGTGTCCTGTCTGCCCCTGCCAGGCTGGCTTCCTGGGCGATGGCCCAAGGGCAGCCAGGCCTCAGCCTCCCTTCGAGCTTGGGTTCACGGTATGTTTTCAGAGGTGTGACCCACAGGTTCGTGTGAGTGTGGAAACTTGTGGGCGTATAACTCTGTGTGTAACATTGATTAGAGGCTTACTATGTGCTGGCCAGTGTTCTAAGTATTTTATGTGTTTAACTTTTACGATGACCCTGTGAGGTAGGTACTATTCCTCTCCTCATTTTCACAGACGATTCCATCTTCACAGAAGAGGAGTCCAAGAAAGAGAGGTTCAGTAATTTGCCCAAAGTTACTAGGAACAGAGCTAGGATTCAAATTCAGGCATTTCAGGCCCAAACCTCTATACTGCTGTGTAGGTATGGACATAGATCTGTCCAGGCTTGTACAGTCATGGAATATCAACAGAGGTATGCTGGTCAATGTCAATGTTTAACAACCAGTTCTCAAGGGGAAAAAACCCTGATTTGTATTGTTTGCCAATTTCTGTGTAAATACTCCTCCCATTGCCAATTTCAAGTTACCAACATGCTGTCATTGGACTGAAGGTGGTATTGGGGAGTAACACCCTTATATTGTATTTCCATCATATTGATATAATAGAAGCAAATAACCTCTAGACCACAGATGATGGAAAATGTAGTAAAATAATTAGGAAGTGATGATTTTGGAGTATTTATTACCTTTGTTTTAAACATTTATTTAATTGTAAGCTTACAATTTAATTTTTAAACTAATGACTGTATTTAACAACAGGCTTGCAAAATTCCTGAAAGTTCAACCACCAGTGTTANTCTGCCGGCTGCCAGGCCCTGACATAGCCCTGACCCACTTCAGCTATCTCCTTCCTCCCACCCACTTCCTAGAAACCAGCCCCAGCCTCCTGTCCTGAGCTCGGTTCCCTGGGGAGCACCAGCCGACTGTGTCCTGTCTGCCCCTGCCAGGCTGGCTTCCTGGGCGATGGCCCAAGGGCAGCCAGGCCTCAGCCTCCCTTCGAGCTTGGGTTCACGGTATGTTTTCAGAGGTGTGACCCACAGGTTCGTGTGAGTGTGGAAACTTGTGGGCGTATAACTCTGTGTGTAACATTGATTAGAGGCTTACTATGTGCTGGCCAGTGTTCTAAGTATTTTATGTGTTTAACTTTTACGATGACCCTGTGAGGTAGGTACTATTCCTCTCCTCATTTTCACAGACGATTCCATCTTCACAGAAGAGGAGTCCAAGAAAGAGAGGTTCAGTAATTTGCCCAAAGTTACTAGGAACAGAGCTAGGATTCAAATTCAGGCATTTCAGGCCCAAACCTCTATACTGCTGTGTAGGTATGGACATAGATCTGTCCAGGCTTGTACAGTCATGGAATATCAACAGAGGTATGCTGGTCAATGTCAATGTTTAACAACCAGTTCTCAAGGGGAAAAAACCCTGATTTGTATTGTTTGCCAATTTCTGTGTAAATACTCCTCCCATTGCCAATTTCAAGTTACCAACATGCTGTCATTGGACTGAAGGTGGTATTGGGGAGTAACACCCTTATATTGTATTTCCATCATATTGATATAATAGAAGCAAATAACCTCTAGACCACAGATGATGGAAAATGTAGTAAAATAATTAGGAAGTGATGATTTTGGAGTATTTATTACCTTTGTTTTAAACATTTATTTAATTGTAAGCTTACAATTTAATTTTTAAACTAATGACTGTATTTAACAACAGGCTTGCAAAATTCCTGAAAGTTCAACCACCAGTGTTAAGCCGGTTCCATTTCACCACTGGGCATGTGTCTCTGTCTGTCACACTGTATAGCTGGCTCATGTTGAAGGATAGCCATGAGCCCTGCTTGTAGCTGGGCTCACAAAGCCTTGTGCAAGCGTCGCATCGCTGAGTGTGTCTCTCTGCATGCATGTATGGGACGTGCAGCCAGCAGTGTCTCTGGTCCAGGAGTGGCGCTGTGGGCATGCAGCTCAAAGTGCAATGTGTTTATTTGTCTTTGTGGGATGTTCCCTGTGTTATAACGTCTGAATGTATGAGTGTGGCTGTTTGTTAAGTTTGTAGTTTCCCACGTCTGGGCATCGCTATTGTCCGCATGCATATGTGTAACCCATGTGTGGAGTTGTTTTTGTGTATCTTTCTGTAAATATAACGGTCGGTGTATGTGTCAGGGTCAGTAGCCATGTCCCATATACAATTATGTGCATAGTTGCTTGTTTAGTTATTGTTGTGTGTGGCTGTGTGTGTAGTTATACTTGCTGTGTGTAATTGTGCGTGTGTAGCTGTGACTTGGTACTTGTATGTTCAAAGCTGTTTCAATGGGTGCACACTGACAGCATTTGACAAAAGCCCTAAGTTGCTGGGACTTCGGTAACTGGCTGTAGACCCTGGGCCTGAGTTGCAACGTGGAGGATCCGTCTTATTACAGGAAGTGTGTCCTCTCCCTAACCACCCCTGGTCAGGCCTATTTTCACTCCCGGAGCAGGCCCCACCTTTCTTGATCACATGCCCAGAGCTTGTGCCCACTCAGACGCTGGGAAAAGCCTAGGCACAGACGTGGCTGCAGACTGGCTCTGAGCTACAGGGACCCTGTGGCCAGACTTGCATCTTTCCTGGGCAGAGTTCTGAATACTTCCCCAGGCATGCATTCCAAGGAATACCATTTCTCTTCCCTTTTCATAGAAGAGAGAAGCCAGGCCCAGAGAGGGGAGCCTATGAGTGGTGGGCCTATGGCCATAGAGGAGTGAGGGGAAGCCAGGGCCAGCCCCTTCCTTCTCAGCCAGAACCCTACTCCTAACCAAGCTGCTTTTCTCAGGTCTCCTAAGCATCCCTACCCTACCACCCACCCTCTACCCCTCTCACCTAGAGGCCCAGAATCTCCTGGCCCAAACCTGAGTCAACAAGGAGCAGGGCTGGGATAACCTGTCTACTTTCTGTGGGATTTAGCTCAGAAGACCGGGTTAGGGCTGTGCTGCCCCCCAGCTGAAAAAAGTGCACCCCTCCCCCATCACTTGTGGCTCAGTTTCTCCAATTTTGGAGATCCAGGAATGAGGGCGGGTGCAGGCTGGGATGTAAGGGTGAGAAGCTGCCAGCACCCCGCAGGTTTCTGTTTCTCTGGCTGTGCAGAAGCAGATCTCATCCTCTAACTCTTAGCGAGCACCGTCCCAAGTCCTACTAAGGGTTTCACATCTTCTCCACCCTCGCCACAGCCAGCAGAGACAAAAATCCAGTGACACTCCTTCCCAGCAGGCATGTAATCTCCGCTCCTTACTGATGAAGAAACTGAGACTCTGGCCTTTATATCAACATCAAGTCCTTACTGCTCACGTCTACTCTAGGGCTTCCTGACATGCGGTGGTTCCAGCAACGCCTCTCTTTTCTCTGCTTCAAAACCTCTCAGGCTCCATCCCTCTCGCAAGTTCCCAGGGTCTCAGAGGCCCTGGAAACGCCAGTCCCGCTCCAACACAAGGCTATGAATGGGAAGAGGAGGGCCCCGGGACGGGGCGGGATGGGAGGGGGCATGCCCGCCGGGCCACCCTCCCCCCTTTCCCTCCCCGGGTGTGCCCAGGTCCTCCCGGAACGAAGGCCAAGTTTGCTCTGGCCGGGCAATCCCGAGGCGCCAGCCTGAGGCAAAGATCACGGGAAGGGTCAAACATTAACTCCCAGGCGGCTTGGGCTCGGGGAGCGGGGTATCCGCGGGCAGGACCGCCAGCCCTGCCGGGCTCCCCTCAACCTCCGGGCCGGTGCGCAAAGCCCAGGCCTCCGGCGCGCCCCCACCCCCACCGC